TTAAAAAAAAAAAAAAGCCCAAGAGCAAGTTAGCCTTACTCACCACCTTACATTTTGCAAGTCTGTTTGGAAGCCAGGAACTTAAAATTCTACAAAAGCGCATTTCAGAAAGCTGAACCAGCAGAAAAACACGCCTCTCGCAGCCTGCCCATGGGCAGGGTTTCGCTGAGCGAAAGACAACTGCAGATCTATTTTTCGAGAGGTAAAAACGTGTACTGAGATAACAAGCGCTACCTTGTTCATTTCAGCTCAATTTCAACCATCAGCAGGTGGACCCTTGTCCCAGCCAGCAGGAGAATCACCGCTCACAGGCAGGTGTGGGACTCCCCTCATCCACGAGTCCAGCACACAGCCTAAGGCTCGAGCATCCAACTGTGAGCCGATCACAGCCTCCTGTGTGTCCCAAGGACACTCAGAACTGAACGTAACTTTCTCCGACTCCTACTCATCTCCTTCTGAATTTCCTAAATCAGTCGGTGGCATCACCATGCACTGCATTCCCAGGCCAGCCGCTGCCTACCCTGGATTTGACATTCCAGTAACGCCAGGCTGTGTTGAATTCTCCATGCAGCCGGGGGTGCTGGCCCCCACGGCTTCCTCTTCCCGGGGGATCCCTGACCCTTCTTCAGTCCCACTCGTTCTTCAAGCTCAGGCTTAGGAAGCCTCGTGGTCCTCTTCCCCACCCCACCCCTTCAGACACCTTTTCTGCATCCTCAGGGCACCCTGCGTATGTGTTTAACACACAAGATCTGTTTGTGCTTTTTCCCTGGTCTTAGCATGAGGCCTTATGTGAAGCAGAGAAAAGAAAATTTCAAGAAATTTTTGTAGACAGTAATAATTGTGAGTATTGTTACATATAACAATATGTTACAGACAAGAAAACTGAGAGCCTGAGAAGTAATTAACCTGTCACACCAAGGCCATGAGGTAGGTACAGGTTAGGCCCAATGACTACCGGAGACATGCTCCTCCCCAAGAAATTTAATTCAAAAGCAATACGTTATCATTAAATAAAGATCAGAAACTGAACGAAGCTTTAAAACAAAACAGTATTTTAGAGACTATGATCCCACCTACTATAACAAATCATCTTAACCCCTTGAATAACAACCTCTTTTTCCACTTAAAAAATTCTATCTCTGTCAATGAATTCATGCCCATACCTCTATGGCCATGGCTTCCAGAAATTCCAGCTCTAGAAATTAATCCTAAGGACATATTTATGGACGTGCACAGAGATTCAGCTAAAACCTAGTTTTTTAATAACACAAGACATTAAGAACCTATCTAAATATCCATTAGGTATTAAAATCTACTGGGTTTAATATCTATAAGGATATTAAAAATCTATTTTAACATTAAGACATTAAAATCTATTAGATAAAAAAATCTATGAATAAGAGAATAATACTTAAATCAACACCGCGTCCTAGTATAGAATACTATACAACCAATGACAGTTCGACATGCTCCTCTATTGGGGTTTTTTTTTTTTTTTTT